CCTTTTTTTTTTCTTCTTCCGCTGTCTTTTTTTTGGAGGTTTGCAGTGTTAGCAGGTATTGGGTTGCATGAGGGGAAAATCTTTGTTTAACACTTTGCTCTGGCTTCTAGATGAAAATGAGGAGCTGAGTTACCATGTGCATGCAATGTGTTGCACAGTACATTTTGGGGTTCTGTAAACTGCAGTTGTCTTCACAGGAGCCACTTAGACTTGTAGGTAAGATGACTGAAATAGAAGAGTTATGCACTAGCAGTTGCCTACAGGCATTTAATTGGAAGTGTGAGGACCTTGTGCTTGTTCAGTAGGTAGGGGTTTTCATATATCTTTGTTACTTGATAATATTTAAAATCATATTAGCTGCACTGGGATTTAAACTGAAGACAGATTACATGAAAGATTTTAACACCTCTCTTAAAACCCAGTCTTGTGATTTCTCACTTACGATGGATTGTATTGTTGCAGAGGTCTTGGAAAGACAAAGGACCATGTAGGATCATACAGTCTGGTTTAATATGTACTTGGCAATTCATAGAAATACTGTTTGTGTCTTTGGATCCATTTTTAATATTACATGAATGTGAAAAAAAAGAAACATCTGTGGCATTTCCTGTGGAACAGGTTTTGTATTTTATTCAGTCACAAATGTTTCTGCCTCCAGAATAAGATTAAAACAGTTCTGTATAAAAGTTTATCTTACTGCACTTGACATGTTAGAATGGGGTTTGGTGCACATTGCCATGCCAGTTATTTGAGCACTGTCTTCAGCAGAACCTTCTTCAAGTGTAGCTGTAACATAATCCTGTAGAAGTATTTTTCACTAAGGTGAACTTCTAATTTTACCTGCACCATGTCTTTTCTTAACTAGAAAAGAAAATCTCCATGTCTGTCTTCAGATATATTGACTAAATATAAAAATATTAGATCAATTTTGTAACTTCTCCCCATATATTCAGCTGTATGTCTCAGAATTAGGGGAAAATTGAGCACACAGTAGGGATTTATTTTAATGTACTGATAAATCAGATACTCTTAACATTCCTTTGCAATGCTGTCATGTGGCTGTGAGTAGCTAATGCTTATAGAATAAATTATCCTCCTGTATTATTTTTAAGGACATCCTCATTTCATTTTCCTGAGACATACAATTTTAGTCTGTGGGGACTTTGTTCCTGACTTTGTTTGATCCTAAGGAAAAAAGGGAATTGGTGTAAATAGAGTTACTTTTTATAGTAGCAGTTTTAATCCATATCCCTGAGTAATTTATATAAATTATATGCAATTTATATAAATTATGTACAAAATATGGAAGAGTTGAAGTTAATTTTTGTTGAAGAAATTAGAAGTTAATAATTTTTAAAACTTGCATATATACCACGTGTATTAGATTACAATGTGGCTTAATTCATCCTGTGTTCCACAAAAGTGGTGTGGCATACAGGGATATTTTTCTTAAACTGACTATTAATGTAAAACTAAAACGTGGAAAATTGGTGTTTTTTCAGACAGTAATTTCTGCTGTCTGGTAGATTTTGGTCTGTGTTTTGCGTAAGGAGAAAAAATTTAAATTGTCTTTAAGTGAAATACAGATGTTGAATGCTGCAGTTAGTTGATCTGCAAAGTGGAAATATAATGGAAACCAATTAGAAACTTCTGGTATGAGTTTTTGATCAACTTCAGTTTGGTTTTGCAGATAATTGTGTTATTAAAACATGATAGTGTAATAGACATACAGCTACATTTATTACCAAAATCCTCATATCTTACTGCAGCTTCAAATGCAAAGTATTTTGAGAATTTTTTACGGCCAGTATTATTATTTTACCATGTTATTAAATAGTTTCTGTTTATGTATACATGTCAATGGAAAAGTTATGTGTCACAAAATGTTTGCAGGACTAAAGATTCAGTTAAGAGTATTGTAATAATAGAATCGTGTTTTATAATTGTATAGACTATTCAGTGCACACCAGAGTTCTTCCTTTGCAAGATGTAATGCC